AAAGTTACCTCCCGGGAATGCCTTTTTTAATCAGGTTGATTGTCTAATGAGCTGATAGAACCTTGTGTTATATTATTATATTATGTTGCCAAAACCTTCGTTCGAAAGCTGGCATTCGGAATATTTAACCCTGACACCATCCAGACTTATTTCCCAACCGGCAAGTTTGTAAATAAATACTAGGTAAGTAAAATGTTGTAGGTTGGAAAATATACCGCTACTTCCGAGGGTGCACTCGTTCCAACCGGTTCGTCTTACCCACCCGGTATGCCATAGGGAAATGGCATCGTAAAATATGCTTCGGGGGTTGTTATTCGGCTGACGAAGCTATTGAATCGGTTAGCCGGGGCTGACTCGATGCAACCTCGACCAGGCAACCCAACCCCGCCACGTTAGCTGCTGCTTAAGAATTCCGCCGGCCGTCGTCCTATACGCAGCCCATCATGTCGTGCGTGTTACAGGCCACTAGAAGGGAACACACGGGACGGGAAACCTCCCACTGGTCACGCATTGCTGACCGAGATGGGGCCGCCTCGCCGTCGCCGAAAGGTAGAATAGGGGCTTAGATTATGCCTAGTATCAGAGATCCACCATCACAGAGCGAAACTGAATACTAGAAAGCTCAAGCTAAAACATGTAATAGAACTGCCGTAGACATTACGCCAAAGTGTGTATAAGTATCCTCCCATTTGCGATTACAACATCAGCTCTATCCAGTTTGTTCTATAAATAATGAAAATATCAGCCTACATACATACGCACGCATATACACACACACATATATATACATGTCTACCTCATACCACTTACACTATCCTACGTTCGGGATATCCGGACGGCGGATAGTCCGAAGCGGAGATGGTTCGATGACTGGGTGACACTTAGCTGCAGTGCCATGTGCGCGCAATCATGGTCATCCCTATCCTATTTGGTTTTCCTTTAATGTCGGCACCGGACTCGTTTGGTGCATTTTCCGTCCGACCTTACATACAGACCTTACAGACCTTACAGACAAGTACCCTCTCATTGCCATACGGATACAGTACGAGATCATGCGACACCGATTGCGCGTAATCTTCTTAGAGAACTAATGCTAGGATTTTATACATGCGTCTGCCCCGATGCCCCGATGCTTAAGGAAGTGCCAAGTCAAATACTTCCGACAGTGCCATCCTACAACACCGTTCCCTGCCTGGTATTCACTACTGCCGAACCCCCTCGGGCAGATGACCAGCTAGAAGCTTAAACATTTCGCCTGCTCGCTACTTGACCTACTCAACCTTCGGTTCTTCTATCCGTGTTGCTCCATAAAGAGATAAGTAGACTCGCACTGCGCCCAACAGAGAAAAAAGAAAAAAACAGTTACAAAATAGTAGAACCTCTCATCCTAGAGCATAGAGGCTGTATGGCGCCTCGTCAATTCAAAGCCCACAACGCTAGGTATGTATACCTGTACATACGTACCGACATGTAGGGCCGAAAATCGCAGGCTTCTATGGGAATTCGATAGATTCCTATGGTCCTTTTCCGTCCATTTTCTCCACCCGTACCTTCAATCCTCCCGGAGGCGGTGGAACCGCCGATTTTCCGATAGCTTTCCTTGGGCGTCATGGCACTCCAAGTACACAATAGTGGACCATACTATTGAATCTACACCGGCGCGGGTTCGAATATACAAGACAGTTCAATGTACCACGAATACGCCAATCGCCATCTGCCATCCTAAATATAGACAGTGTGCATATGTGTTCCGGGGATTATCAGTGAAGAAAAGGAGAAAGCTCATAAGCTTGCTCCACCATGCGTAAGACGTGAGATTCATGTTGTAAGATGGCGACCTCCATCCATACCTAGACCTAGGTCACGTACCGAGTGGATGTTAACTAAGATCTATTATTCTAACCTACTATCATATGCGGCGACCGAAACTGCGTAACGCCGTCAGCCCGCTCCGCTGTTTGAATATAAGTGTGGCCGGCACGCATTAGCACAGTTTTCAGTCCGAATGTATATCTCATTACATACCTCCTAAGTGCTAAAGGAGATGTTATTACTGCCTCCTTTGCGGAGGGGTAATCAAGCATTTTCTATATTTTTAACTATTAATACATTCAACCATGGTACCGGGTTAGATCGGCTATCCTTGCCCGTCCACCGGAATATCCAACGAAATGATATTCTGGTATTCGTAGCAGAATTGTGTACCATATCTAAGACTTTTATGTACCTATGTAATTATGATGATGATAGGCTGCATTAGGTGCCCACTTACAATTTAGCCTCCGCGCCTCCTATGATGCTGTAATGTTCTCTCCAAAGTCAGCGACTGGCGTCATATTTTCGGCCGCAACGGATTAAAAGGGGGCGGGCCGGATCCTTTATCCTGAAATTATCTACGCCCCTAGTCAGCCCGTCCATCCGCACGCATTGTACCGCAAGTCGGACTTACTACTGTAATAATTCATTTCACACACAATTTAGACGAACAAAAAAGGGGGGAGTCGGGATCAGGGATTCTTACCTACCTACCTAACATTACGATCAAGATTTAGGATACGGTCAACCGGATAGACCACCTCAACATCAACGTAATGTACAAGACTTTTCGGCCGAGTCTTGTAATACGCAACATGTAGGTACTTGGGTACATAGATGTATTATCGCCCGCAACATGTTAAAGAGCGCAGAAGCGTTGGAAACTAATCCCGATCTACACGGAGACCATTGATTTGGGTAAAGAGAAATTCAATGTTTGTGCGACAAGTCCACTCAAATCTAGGCGGTATCTAGGCGTCCCCGCAGTACATATGCGCCTTACCGAGTGCTAGCTTATTCAGGTACATGTACTTATCTCGTCTACGCGTACGTTACACTTGGAAAGTACCGGTGACAAAATGTCCGCATTCATCCCGGTGATGGGCTGACCGCGCGGAAGGTGCAGCTGATCCGATCTATCCCGTTAGGTACCTACCTCCTAAGATAACTTCTCCATAGGTAACCTCCTCCACTGTCTGCTGATAGTCACGTGTTACATTCAAACGGACAAAGACGGTGATGAATAAAGCCCATTTACCATGCATCGCCATAGATCGGCATACATTTATTATTACACTTGCCGGACAGATGATAGGATCGCTACTCGGCTGACCTCTTCGGAACAGCTCGATCGTACATGCAACAAAATATCCATCCCCAGAGTATCTAAGCAGGGTGCTACAAGTCTACATCCTAGACTATAGGTATATCCTATGATCGTAGGTCTATTACTTAGTTAGCTAGGTACCGGCATATATAAACTCTAGGGATAATATCGTAGATTTCAAAGCATGGCCTTGCCATCCCCTTTTTTTACTTCGTTTCGTACATCCCCCTAGAGTAAAGATACGTAGGTACCTAAGGTTACCAAGCAACCAAGCAACCAAACAATTATATGTGTACCACGGTTCCTAGGCAACCCAAGGTAAGGTTAAAAGGTCCATTAACAACCCCTCCATCACTCCTGACCTTTCAGATACACTACCCAAAGAGGCCGTGGCTTAGTGGTTTTCATGGTATGAAGGTGTAGATAAAATTCGTTCGCCGGGTTTTTCGAGGGCGTTTCCGGGTTCGAGCGAGTGCAGGGCAGCAAGATAGGTCATCTTGGCTATGTTCAATGCCCAAGACTTGAGTCTAGGGGCCTGCTTTTTTGCACTTCTTTTTAGAATTGTTAAGATCCCATTATATTTTCATGCAACTTTGCGAGGCTTGTAAATGAGATGAGATATCCTATCCTCACCACTACCAGTTTTCTAGCCTTTCAAATACCGTCAAACCACGCGTTATTTTTTATTAATTATGAGCAGGGAAATATATGTCTATGTTTTATATAGAACCAGGTGCGCTCTTTTATATAATTACCAACTAAGGCGGCGTAGTTAGCATTCGTAAACCCCTAAGGCTCTATTATATCCTAGCTTCCTACCTCGTAAGAATTGGGAAGGTTAATCACCACAAGGATAAATTTCCTGACCTTGATAACTTCCAACTTTGTAAGACTAAGGGTGTTCATAACCTTGATTCTGAATTTGCTCGTACAATTGGCTATATTGTTAGCTATTGAGTTTCTATATGACTTGGTTATTACAAAGAGGCTATATCTCCCCTCTGTTCTTGGGAGGGCATGTGTCAATACAGTCACCAATGCACTCCTACACTAGTAGCTATGCCCCTACCTCTCACTCTGTGCTACCGAGGCCCTGACAGAGGCATATGGTGATTGATATTTATGATGCGCAATCCATATCGACGTGAATTAACAACCTCCAATATAAAACGACATATACAATCACATAGAATTAAGACGCCGAAGGAGGACGTAGTCAATGTCTACGAAAAGGAAAAACAATCCTACTTACAGCTGCAAAGTATCGTTAGAATTTTCTTATATCCTTATGCTTGGTCCAACATGGCCATCATTTCACTGTTGGTTCTGAAGATTATTACATTAGAATAGCTAAGATAGGACTATGTAGTCATGATCGTCGTTTGCTATTTCACTTATATGGCAGGTTACCTAAACTATCATGAGGTGGAACTAGAAGACACTTCGACAACTTTGTTGTTCCATAATTCTAAACTTAGCTATGAGAGCCTGTGGTTATACATCCTTTGACTCAAATATTGTACTGGGGATTCAATCGAATGGCAAAGCGAATTAAATCGCAGCCGTAGTAAAGCCCGCCTACTAGTATGTAAAATCCATCCGAAACAGTTGTGCCGGCCGCTTAAACCTATGGCCCTAGGTTTATCATTCTCTCTTTGGGTTATTACGAGAAGGATATCAGAAGGCCTATTACCAACCGAGTATTAGTCTTCAGTATAATTACAATTAGTTTTATAACTTGAACTACAGCTAGTGATATATGTACATAGCTCTGCTAGTAGTAATAATAGCCATGGGCAAGAAGATAGTTGCGGATATAACAAGCAGATAGAAATTCCGTACAAGCATCATCATCCCACTTACATGGTGGCGTAGGTATCACAAAAATGCAGGTTGGTGGCTGCGACGCTTACTGCTCAATCCAGTCCCCAAACCTGGCCACTTTGCCGAGCCTTCATGTCTTATTAGCTGAGCGGCTACCCCGCGACCCCAGCCTCCATTAGATCTTCCTATCCTGATCTCATACATCATGAGCTATGTAATTGCTGATGGTGAGGAAGAAACAGGAATAAAAAAGAAGCGTTATACTCACTTCGACGACGACTTTGTAAGAGTACAATCTTAATCACTGTTTCGACCCTGCGCTCCGCTCACTCGCCTCAACCCAATGGAGTACCAGCCAGCACCGTCGCCATCATACCCAGCACCGCCCTCAACCTCGGCTCCGGTGCCTCCAGGTCCACCTTCATTGCAGCCAGACCCTAGATTTGAACAGCCAGTCTCTACGCCTTTCGCCGGGGCGGATTTGCAATCAATAAGGACTGCCTGTGAGTACTCGTTGGGCGAGTATATCTCGCTGCACAAAAGACGACGGTATGACGACCCGGCTAGCGAGCGTCGTGTTCAAGCGCAGCAGAGCATTATTATGAGCGACTTACAGCTGTTGCGGAGCGAGGTATCGGATTTAGCTAAGGCGGCCGAGGCGCATAGATGGCGACGATGGCTTTTGGGTGGTCTAGTGTAAGTTTCTAGCATATGGGAAATTGCATCATGGAATCTCTCCCTCTCCCTTATCTACCCCCCTCCCGCAACATCACACATAAACCAGCCGTCTATTTCCATAGTTTCTTATACCCGTACAGGGCGTCTTTCATCCCCGCCATCCGTAAGGTTTTCCGCCGTTCGTCGAAGGACAAAGAGTCTAACGACACCGAGTATGCCTTTAAGAGAAGCAAGGGTCTCATTTCTCGCATATTGGATTCCGTTCATGGCAAGGGCAAGTTTGCCTCGATAGCCTTCTTTGTCTTAGCTATCCTGTACGTATTTCAGAGCGAGGTATCGATGCGTGTAGCAAGAACGGTATCCAAGCGCTTGAAGCGGCTCATGGCCAAGATCGAAAGGGGAGATCAGGGTCTTGGGGAAGACGACGTGAAACTTCTCAAGGGCTGGCGTTGGCGCGTGCTACTGTGGTAGTAATTTGATAACAAAGGTTGAGTTTCATCGAGTCTTTCCATGCTGTACTGTACCTCTTGTATCTAGATATAAAAATGCCCCCTGTTTAATCATACTAGGTAATATAGATACACCAGTGAGTGCTCTCATATTTAGCCCTGAGCATAGAGAAATACCAGCACCGAGTCTTACAGTGTAGTTGAAACTAATCCGTACCATGGGAGATTCTATTCGGAGGATATACACATGCACGGATATGTTACCTGCTATATCATCGGGCTATATCGTTAAGTTTCCATTTGGGTATCTAAGCTACCTAATACACAGCCCTGTGAAACATAATGCTACCTAGTACACACCATTGCGGTCGCCATCGTTGCTAATGAAGTTTCCCAGTTGCAGCTGGGTCATATCTTCTCTCACGCTTGCGACATCGCTAGCCACCTTCAGAATACCCTGCTGCAACTCCCTAAGCACAGCGCTAAGCTCTTGGGCCTTCTCGTTGGGACCAGATGACGCTCCATTCTTGTTAGCCATCATCTTCTGCAACTGCTCCACCAGGTTGTCGGAAACGCCGTGCATATGCATCTCAATCTCAGTCATGTTCTGGTCATATCTCTTTACTTGATCTTCCATGTCATCTGCCGCCTTAGAGAAAAAGCTGACCAGGTCTTGTCCGTCCGCCTCCGTGTTCGCTGTGCCTGCTGACTGTTGCCTAGGGGACCATATCCCGGCCGTGTGATACTGTTCAGGCAGCTTCAAGTTATCGATAGCTCGGAAACTTAGCCGGGCGTGATCCACATCCTGAGCGACTAAGACGCGGGATGCCTCGATAGCCTGAGCAGCCGATGCTAGTGCACTATGCGCACTCTCGTACTTTTTAGCGACAAAATTGACGTCGTTGGGGATGCTCTCAAGCATCTCCTTATGGCCGGGCATAAATGAATCTACCTCGTCCTTATATTGCATTTGTCTCTGGATCAACATGTCGACAGCTTCTATCTTCTTCTGTAGGTCCTCTTGGAGGTCGTTAAACCGCGTAGTACCCTTAAGGTTGCTTACGTCGATACGCACACCGGGAACTGTCTGTTGAGTTGATGATTGACCCATGGTTAGGCCAAGGCCGAGTGAACTGCCTAGGCCCAAGCCAGGTTGCTGCGGTTGGGATTGAGCCGGTTGGCTAAGAGTACTCCCACTGCGGATCGAGTTAGCGAAACGATTGTAGGGGACCTGGGTTTGTTCAACTTACAACGGGTTGGATTTCTGCTGGGCTGGGACCGCCTGGCTAAATAAAGATGATCCCATATTGCTCGCCGCTGGTTGTGTAGGTTTCAAAGAACTACCGAAGAGAGGCCCAGAAGCCCCAGTCCCCGTAGACGTCGCCTGGGCAGTCGTGCTACCGCCAAACAGCCCGGTGGCGGGTTGGGTCTGAGCCTGCGTTTGCGGTTGCGTCTGGGCAGGTTGTAAGCTTCCGAAAAGTCCTCCTCCCTGCTGCGGTTGCGCCTGAGTAGCCTGCGAGCTCCCGAAAAGCCCCCCTCCCTGCTGTGGTTGCGTTGTAGTAGTATTCGCTGCTCCGAATAGACTGGCGCCTCCCTGTGACGGCTGGGATGGAGTAGCGGAAGATGAAAAGAGACCGCCGGATTGAGGCTGAGTGGTAGCGGTGGAAGAAGAAGTCGTAGGATTATTAAATAAAGATGGCTTAGGTGTAGTTGATGTATTGCCGAAAAGATTTCCACCGGGAGCGGGAGGCTGGCTACTGCTCGATCCACTTCGTCCGGCGCCGGATGTCAGCTTTAAGACCCAGGCGGGAGGCATTGCAGCAGATTCGTTTCGTTTCGCTACGTGAGGATTGGAGAGGAGTGTAGGAGAATAGATGCTAGACTCACAACAAGTTCGCGGACGACGTGTTGATAGACAGGCCACCAGGGCCACTCGCTGATCTAGATAGGGCCATGATTCCCCGGGCGTGGAATGTCAGAATTTTTTTTTATAACTGTGTACCTAAGTTAGTACATGATTGATACTTGCGTCTTCTGTTTGTTTGTCCGAGACATACCTTAGCTCACATGCCCAACAAAGGGAACTTGTGGATGTAAGTAGAGGAAGGAATGTAAGGTGGGTAAAATGTGGTATGTAAGTTGTATTGATGTATTGATGTAGGTTAGGTAATATAAAGTTATCAAATGTTTTTTTTATTATCTTTTGCAATACGGAGTAGAGCTGCAGGTGCTGTCGCGTTACTAGCCAGCTAGCGCGCCTATGTCCCCCGGATGGTACATGGTTTGCTAGGATTTGTACTCCGGATTACACGTACTAAGCCAAGTACATATGTAGCCTGGCCATAGCTCCGTTGCAGCCGCAATCGCCCCACGCCTTATTCTACATATGTATCGCACTTCCTTGTCTTCCCTAGCTCAAGGTAACCAATTGAAACCCAATTGAACCCATCCACCTGCAGTGACTTACATCTAAACCCTTACGTCCAATTTGAACCTTCACTTCTCCCGAACATTAGCGTCCATACAACTTTCCGGCATCAAGATTTTAACCTCTTACCTAGTACGACCTTTATACATCTAGAAGCATAATGGATATTGACGACGACGATGATTTCTATGCTCCCGACGAGCCCACCACTCAAAATGACCCGTCTAACTCTACCGATTCTCATACTGCGGCTACATCTGTCCAGCCCCAGCCCCCACAACAGCAACAACAAGATGAGGAGGATTTAGAGGAAGGAGAGGAGGAAGATGAAGGCGCTGATATGGACGAGGATGACTCGGACATAGATATCATCACGGAACGGAAAGATGGCACAAATGCGCCTCCGCCTACGTTAGCACTACCTAGCTTCCCCGTCGTCTATATCTACTCACGTATTCCATAGCCAGTCGCGATATAGTGACATACGAAACATACCTCAAAGATCAGCGTCAAGCGATACGACCAAGCCTGCCGCTGTTAAGAAGGAAGACGTACCAACGCGGTCCACCTCGGGCCACGACTTGCCCGCAGTTTCCACATCCAAGGTCGATGTAAATGCGATACCTGTGTACAAACCAGTAGGAAAGCCTATCACCCAGATCAACATTGATGAAGGTCTGTCGCATATCGCCTCCTCCTGTTTCATCGACTACTGCTAACACAGGCGCATTCAAGATCTGCCAGAGAATGACAAGCCTTGGAGGAAACCTGGTACAGACCTAAGCGACTATTTCAACTACGGCTTCGACGAATTCACCTGGGCCTTATATGCTGCCAAGCAAGATAATGTCCGCAGCGAGTACAGCTCGGACGCCATCGCTCAGAATAACAAGAAGATGCTCGAAGACATGCAAATGATGATGATGGGAGGTATGCCTGGGATGAGCGGCGCAGGCGCAGGTGCCGGTATGGCAAATATGCCTGGAATGGATGGAATTCCTCCTGAGATGCAAGCCATGATGCAGCAGATGATGGCCTCTGGTCTTGACCCGAGCCAAATGGATGCATCTACTATGTCTGCCATGTTCTCGGGTATGCAGAATGCCGGGGCCAGCGCTGCTGGAGGGCAGGGCAACCAGAACCAGAACTTCGGGGGACCTGGCCAAGGATTCGGCGGTGCTCAAGGCCAAAATTTCGGCTATGAACAGGGCATGGGCCGCGGTGGGGGTGGGGGCACTGGCGGGTTTGGCGGGCGTGGTCGTGGCGGCGGACGTAGGAATTGGTAAAGATGGCCAAGCTTCCTCCTGTATACTTATACTACTGGATAGCTTTCGGTGAAGGCTATCGAATGATTACCAGGCTGTGAGGTGAGAGCCTAGATGAACGCGGGATTTCGCGTCGTATTAGGTAGTCATACCAATCACGATACCCATAACATTCAAACTACACTCGGTTTGCTACGGTTCACTTTTCTTACTCCATCGCTTAACTAGCACAAGATGTGCATAGCTAATAAACACGACTGACCCAGTTGTCTAACTACACCTTAAAGGTAGTAAGACGACGAATAATAACCGATATCAGTGTCAGCACAACAGAAACGACTCGCGTATAATATATTGCTATCGCCGATGTACTAGCTAAGAAAAAATATAAATCGTAGTTGCGATTCAAACGCCGAAGAGGAGGAGTAACAGGAATCCTGTCCGGGAAGTCGTCGAAAGTCTTCCGGTGCCGGATAATATATTTCCTGACAACCAATCAGCAGCCTCCTCTCAGCACGTTTCATACAGCATGTGCCACCCTCCCCTGACCCAAGATCTGCGGGCCTAGAATTCAGCGTCCCGGGAAGAATAGAGTTTTTGGACTCCCAAGCCCGTTAAGCCTATTGTTGCGCCTCGTGAGTCTAAGTGGTGATGAAGGAGTTATATACACTGGTAGAACTTCGCTTGTACGAAACACGGCGCTCTGCTAGGCTAGCCACACCATGTGTACGAGATGCCTCTGGTCTACATTCAACTTTGCGTTTCCCATTTTGGCGGCTTGGGTATAGCCAATGGACAAGCGCACGTGGGTACTTGATTGCACAATCTAGGAGCGGGACACATTATACATTTATCTTATCCATACCACTTCGGGGATACTTTTTACTAAGACTACGCGGGGGGGGGGGGGGGGGTTTAAGTTTAAAAAAATTTATTAAAGTAAAGTGATGTGTTTTTACACAAATAAAACACGAAAATAAAACAAAAAAAAAAACAATTA